GATATTTCTGGCTCTGTCTGTCCTACTGTAGTCTGTCTGTGTCTGTCTGTCTATCTGGCCTTCTATCGTATCTACTCTATCATATCTATCTACTCTATCTATCTATCCTATCTATTCCTATCTATCATGCTATCCTATCTTATCTCACATCTATCTACTCTCATCTATCTATCTATCTTATCCTATCCTTATCCTTCACTACTCCCATCCTATTATCTATCCTATCTAATCCTCTTCTGTCTGTCTCCCTGTCCTATCCTATTCCTCTTTATCTCATCTATCGTCTACCTATCCTATCTTATCTATCTATCTATCGTCTCTTATCCTATCTAGTCTCATCCTGATCTATCTATCTATCCTATCTATTCTCTCTTCTCTTCTATCTAATCTGTCCTGTTTATTTATCTGTCCTGGTCCCCTGTCCTGCCTGTCTGTCCTCTCCTATCTACTCTATGCTATCTGACTCTATCTATCTATCTATTACGTATCCTATCCTATTCCCTATCATCCTACTTTATCCCTATTATCTATTTATATATCCTACTATCGTACTCCATCTACTTAAATCCTATCTATCCTACCATCTATCATCTATTGTATCTACTCTATTATCCTTCTCTCTCAACTATCTGTCTGGTTCTGTCTCTGTCTGCCATGTTCTGTTCTCGTCTGTCTCGTCTTGTGCTGTCTGTCCTGTCTGCTCTGTCGTCGCTTTCCGCTCATCTCCTCGCTCCCGTTCGCTGTCCTATTTACATTCGGCTCCCTCTCTTCCCTTCTCTCTTTCTACCTTCCCCTCTCTCCTTTCTTCCAGGCAAGGCAGGCCATCATCTGTATCGAGCGAGCCTCGCTCTCCCCTCTTGTCTGCACGTGGGGCCGCAAACGACTACCTTCCATCCTGCGCGAGAGCTGACGACGCTTAACTCCCCGCCAAGGTCCGACTCCGTCCGCCGCTCCACATCGAGATGTAGCCGGCAGCCCTGCGGAGGAACCCAGTTCCACAGCGCTCGCTCCCCGAAGGTGGCCGCTTCGAACCTAACAGGAGCCCCTCTGCAGCGTATGCAACACGCGCCGGGTCTAGTCGCTTACAAGCTTCACCTTTGTCATTGTCTCCGACGGCCTGCAACCCCACCTCATCTCCTGGCGGCCGACCCAGCCGAACTCGCGTCAACCCGCCAAGAGTGGCTGAAGACGTTTCGACGCATTATCCCTCCGGCCCCCAACGCCGCCGACCCCGAACAATAATTCGAGACCGACGGACCGATGACCGGTAGTGTCAGAGCCGCCGCGCTACGACGGCATTGTCCAGCGTTTCGGACGCACGGCGGGGCGGTCAAGCGACAGCGGCAGTCCGGCACGCGTCAGTGGCCGTCCGCGCCGCACCGTGCCGGATTCCCTCTTGCTCACTGCCCGTCTACGAAGGTAAAATATCTGTGTAAGTTTCATTGTTCATGCGCTTGGCCCCCCGTCAGCAAGTTAACTGTCGCTCGTCCTGAACTCGGCATGGTAAGTCGCTCGTCGATAGTTGTTTGTCGTCGTCATCATCGTCGTTGTCCACTGCTCGTCGACTGTCATATCCTCATCGGTCGTCGTGATGGATTGTCGATCGGTGATTTTGTGTTGTTCGTTGTCGTTGCCCGTCACTGTCGCCGATCGTCATTGTTCTTCTCCATTTCTCTTTCTTCCTCTCCTCCTATTTGCCCCCTTCTTCTTAATTCGATCTTCTTTTGTCCGTTTCATTTAATTCTAATTACTTATTTACCCGTCGTTTCTCTCCAACATATCTTAACAGTTATGTTAGGGCCTTTCTTGGCTCTTCGTTTCTTGTCTCCCCTCCTATGCTCCTTCCGTCTTCCTTTTTCTTGCATCGTCCGTACTTCTTAAACATATTTATGATTTCTTTGTAATTTTCCATCATCGTTCCTTCGTAAGTCGTCGTTATGCTGTCGCTTACTGACCATTTTCATTTTGTTTCCGCACGCCATGTTAAATATTTAACCAACGCGGGAATTCTCACCTTTCACGCCGCCGATCGAATATCGAAACCGCGGCTGCGCATGCGCTGCCAATTCAATGTTTGCCAAGGCTTCTAAACTTACCGAAGGGTGCCGATTTGCCAAGCCTACGACATGCACGCCACCGAGTACCCCCTGCTCGCCGTGCGTCGCGTGCATGTGTGCGTGCTGCGCTGCACGCGTGTGTGTGAGTGTGAGTGTCTTTCATAATCTCCCCCTCACTGTTTCTCTCCTTCTCTCAGTCTTCTTTCTCCATGCTCCGGCGAGCTCTCTAACCATTGTCAGCCATTCTTCCTTCTCGTGTCATTCTTCCCTGCCCTACTCCAACCTCCGCCTCCTGGCTTGCAAGAATTCGCATTGCTCCATCTCTGCCCTCCTGCCCCCCTCCCGCTCCTCCTCCTCCTTGCTCCCTCCTCGGCCCGGCGCTGTGTAACTCCATGATGAGTCGGTCGATACACGACGGACCACGTCATTCCGTTCTTGGAGTCAATAACTCCGCGCCGTGTGTTCTCACCGCTAATGATCATGATATAAACAAAACGAAGACGTCGCCCATGGAACATCACCTTTACATGCCGTAAAAAGGCATTAGCAGGCGCGCTTCCGTGTATGCGTGTGCGTGTGAAGCGCGTGAATACATTTCTAGTCTTAAGGCTATCTACTATCTATCATTATTCTAATCTATCCTATCCCCTATCATGCTTATCTATCACTGATTCTATCTATCTATACTAATCTAAAATCTATTATCTATGCTAATGCTATCTATCTAATCTATCTATCTAATCTATTCATCGTTATGTATGCCTATCTATCTATCTACTCCTATTATTAATCTATCTACCTCTATCCTATCTACTCTAATCTATCTATCTATCTCTCTATCTATCTATCTATTTAATCTATCTAATACTATCTACTATTCTATCTATGCTATCTATACTATCATACTAGCTATTAGCCTATCTATCCCTATCTGATTTTCCTATCTTATACTATCTAACTACTCATAATCTAATCTCATCTATCTATCTATCCTATCTATCTATCTATCTAACTCTATGCTGTTCTGTCTGCTCTGTCTATCTATCTTATCTACCTATCCTTTAATTCTACTCTTATCTATCTACTATCCTATCTATTTATTACTATTTATTTAATTTATCCATCTATTTGTCTGTCAGTTTGTCCGTCTATCAATGTGTATGTGTCTATGTGTGCGCGTGTGTGCATGCGTGTGTAGGCGCGTGCGAGTGTTTGCGAATGACAGTACGCGTATGTACTTGTGCGTGCGTGCGCGTGCCGTGCGCTGCGCTGCACCTAGTGCCTTTCGATGGCAACCAGGCTTGCACGAAGCAGTAGCTGATTGAACTGCGGAGTGTTGTGTGTAAGGAGCGCCGGGACGGGAGCTCCGGAGCGTGGCTAATGCCCGTAGCCTCCAACCTGTCGCCCCGTATCAAGCGATCGTCTCCTCGCTCATCTAAACTACCGTTTGGCCTGGTGCGGTGCGAGGATGTGCAGGTACCTGGTGCACTACATACTCAGCACGGTGGCATTACCGATGGTTTCTGTATGGTCGTGTGTGTGGAGGGGGGGCGTGTGTGTCGTGTCTGTGTGTGTGCTGTGGGTGTGTATGTGTGTGTGTGTGTGTGTGTGTGTGTGTATGTGTTGTGTGTGTGGGTGTGTGGTGTGCTGTGTGTGTGTGTGTGTGTGTGTATAGTGTGTGTGTGTGTGTGCGTTTCTCTCTTTTCTGCCCTCTTTCTTCTTCTCTCTTTCTCGCTGGGGCCTCTCTCTCTCTCCTCCTCGCTTCCTCTCTCTTCTCTCTCGTCTCTCTCTCTCTCAGCTTCTCTGTATGTGTGGGCGCAGCGTCCCAATATTGGGAGTGGCAAAATTAATCGTGCTGTGGCCTGTGTTGACTGTGCGTTCGTACTGTGCGTGTACCTGTGTGTTTCTTTCTTATCTTTCTCTTTTTCTCTCTCTCCCACTCTCTCTCTCTCTCCCTACGTGTGTGGGCGCGCACGCGTGTCTGTGTGCCTGAGTTGGGTGTGCGTGTAGGCGGACGTGCGGTCGTGTGTGCGGATTGCGTGTGCGTGCGTGCATGCGTGTGCGTGCGTGAACGCGTGTGCGCTACCGATATTTCATCGCGGCTGGTTAGCGGCGTGTGAGAGCTGCTGCTGCCGGCGCGTGGTCAACGGTTGAGTGGCTCACACACATAACGTCATTCACGGTTTAATGACATCCACGATGTCGCTTTGATCACGCGTTTAAAGTGCGCGTGTCTTATATACGAAAGATCTCGGCTACTCGCTTTGTAGCGTGTCGAGTTTGAACATATATCTTGAACAGGTGAATGAAAACGTTGTGGATAGAAAAAAAAGTAAAGCATTAAGAAGCGCTTGCGAAGAACAGCAAAACGTAGCTATTGTGCATCTTCCGAAAAAAAATCCTGTGCGAGATAGAATAAACCGATGTGAACATGATATAACAATGTGTACGCGTGCGCGCACGTACGTGCGTGCGTGCGTGTGCACGTGATAAAGTAATGAACACGTAGAGATTATCTGTGATGAGGTTAAGGCAATGTATGATAAGGTAGATGTAACGTGTGACAAAGACAATACAGTGTTTGATAGATAAGAAATGAGTATTAAGGCGTGAATAGTGCTTGATAAAAAATATATAATTTATGTCGATAAGGAAACGTTATGTATGCTAACAGAGGGATAATGAGTGATAAGTGGATGACAACGCCTGATAAGGAAGAGATAAAATGTAATTAAGGAAAGATAATTTGTGACAAGAGGAAGATAATGTGTGATAAGTGAAGGAGAATGTGTGATAAGGGAAGGAGAATGTGTGATAAGGGAAGGAGAATGTGTGATAAGAGAAGGAGAATGTGTGAGAAGGGAAGGAGAATGTGTGATAAGGGAAGGAGAATGTGTGATAAGTGAAGGAGAATGTGTGATAAGTGAAGGAGAATGTGTGAGAAGGGAAGGAGAATGTGTGAGAAGGGAAGGAGAATGTGTGATAAGGGAAGGAGAATGTGTGAGAAGGGAAGGAGAATGTGTGAGAAGGGAAGGAGAATGTGTGAGAAGGGAAGGAGAATGTGTGAGAAGGGAAGGAGAATGTGTGATAAGGGAAGAAGAATGTGTGGTAAAGGAAGATAATACGTCTACAGGGGAAACCCCCATCGTCCTTCATTTTTTATTAGTTTGCATCAAATATTCGCCGCTACCGCCATCTATAATTACACGCATGAGCATCCCAAACATCGCCCCGACAAGCCGAAGTTCATTACCAGCAATTCTAGCTTCGCATTATTGCTCAATCCTTTTAGCGTAATCTATGTTTAAAAAAGTGCGTCGACCCCTTGACCTGGACACGTCCCGTTCCTCGATGTTTCAAGTACATGTAATTATTTATGACGTCATATTGCGCGCTTTGCGTGGAGTTAGGAATTTGGAGATTTTGAATTGGGAATCTAAGAATCGATTCCCAATCTCCTATGGTGTTGTAATAGTGGCACGTGTGTGTACGCGTGCTTAAAACCGGCTGGCCGGAACCGGAACCATTAAATGTTTCACGCGGTTTGCTTTTCCCAGGACGCGATTGCTCGATAAGAGGAGAAGAGGCGGAGGAGGGTGAGTATGGGGTGGATGATGAGGGCTGTTGTGACAGCGGGGGGAGAAGGTTGGAGTGGTTGGCGAAGGCGAGAATGAAGAGGGGGAGACAATGAGGAGACGGCGGAGGAGGAGGAGGAGGAGGAGAAGGAGGATGAGGAGGAGACGGCGGCGGAGGAGGAGGAAGAGGCGGAAGAAGCGAAAGAGGTAGGAGAAGAAGAAGCACGAGGAGGAAGAGGAAAAACAGAATATGGCTAGAAAAGGTGGCAAGGAGGAAGAGGAGGATGAAGAGAAGGAGAAGGAGGAGGAGGCGGATAACGCGGAAGCCCGCATACAAAAATCGAAGAGAAAAAGGAAGCGCAGTAGATTAAAAGGAAGCGCGTGATATGAGAGAGAAGCAATAGGCGAACGATAAGCTAAACAGGATTAGGCACGACGAAGAATTACATAGAAAAAGAAGCTTGTCGCTATACCTGTCACGTACATGAGCCGTTACGTATCACAGCCGCCCACCTGTAACACACTAATCCTCACCTTAAGCCCAGTCTTACCGGCCCATCACCGGTAATTAGCTATCAACTGCGCATAATCCGGTTATCCATCTCCAGCGCATCCCTGTTGCTAGGATAGCATCCATGTTTAAGCTTATTAAATTTTAGCTTACTTTTAGCTTATGTTTGCAGCTAATTAATTAAGCTACCGTCACTATTCGCTGCTCAGCTTTCATCTAATTTCGCTGCTAGGCTACCAAATATTTTCATGAATAGAATAGATTATACATCACATTTATTCAGCTAAACTACTATCTTTGTTCACTGCTAATTAAGCTCTAATCCCTATTCAATGCTAAGTTGTCGTAAAACTAAATTATAAAATGCATTTTCCTAGTTGGCTATTATGTCTGTTCATAGCTAAGCTACTATCCCTGTTCATAGTTAAGCTACTATCCCTGTTCATAGCTATGCTACCAACCCTATTCATAGCATAGCTAAGTTATACTAACCATGTTCATAGCTAAGCTACTATTCCTGTTCATATCTAAGCTATACAAACCATATACATCAGAAGTAGATAATAGGGAAATAGTTCCCTATTATCTACTTCTGAAATACGTAGCTACAAACTATCATGTCTGTTCACTTCTAAGTTACAATACGTGTTCGCAGCAAGCTACCATTCCCTACTCACTGCCGTATCACTTCACACAACCAAGCCAGCGTCGCTGTCTGCTGCTATATGCCACCATCTACGTTTACAGCTACGCCACCATTCCCTGTTCACCGCTATAACACACACTCTACGCATACTAACAGCTGACCCCCCACCCCCATCTCGCACACTGCATCACTGCCTCCCGCCAACGCTCACAGCCGGGCCATCACCCTTACCCATCTCGTGTGACACTATCGCAGCGCCGAATTAATTCTCTGACGCGCCTACTCCCGCGAGAAGAAAAAATCGCGACGTGAAATCCTTCGGTATCCTTCCGGAAAGCTTCGGATGAAGCCAACCTGGCAACAGCTGCCGACCGTACGCTCGCGATATAGGATACAACAGGTGTTAGAGAGAGACACGTGGAGCCAGACTGAAGCCCTATGGATCTAGTAACGACTAGGACCGGCTTATGTCCTGTCTCCGCGTACGGACTTATCCCTACTTACCTCAGGCTTCGCCGGCTACTTCTCGCTTCAGTTCTTTATTTTCTAGCTTCATGTCTCTTTCTCGAGCTTCCCCTCTGTGTCTCTAACTTCCTTATCTTTATATCCCTATCGTCTCCTGTCTTTCCCAAAACTGGCTGTTTCTGGGGCTCTTCCCGGGTTATTCTTTTCTTCTTTTTGTTTTGTTTTCTGGTTTTCTACTACTTACTCTTTGCTGCTTCTGACTACCCTCAGGTTTTTGTCGGCTAGCTCTGGCTCACAGTATTCATCTAACACCCACCTGGCTACCTCCAGCGTCCACTGACTACCACTAACCTTCACCGGATTCATTTTGTCAGCCCCGACTATCTCTAGCAGTCCCCTAATTGCCTAGCGTATCTCTGTCTATCTGGCTCCCTTGGCATACTCTGGGTTTCCCTGGCTTCCTTTTGTTTCCCTGGCTTCCTTTTTGCTTTTTTAGCTGTCCCTGGGTTCCCTTGGCTTTCTCTGGATTCCGCTGGCTTTTTCTGGATTCCTCTGGCTAGCTCTGGGTTCCTCTAGCCTTCTATGGGTTCCTCTGGCTAGCTCTGGGTTCCTCTAGCCTTCTATGGGTTCCTCTGGCTAGCTCTGGGTTCCTCTAGCCTTCTATGGGTTCCTCTGGCTAGCTCTGGGTTCCTCTAGCCTTCTATGGGTACCTCTGGCTAGCTCTGGGTTCCTCTAGTTTTCCATGGGTTCCTCTGGCTTGCTCTGGGTTCCTCTAGCCTTCTATGGGTTCCTTTGGCTAGCTCTGGGTTCCTCTAGCCTTCCATGGGTTCCTCTGGCTTGCTCTGGGTTCATCTAGCCTTCTATGGGTTTCTCTGGCTTTCTTTGGGTTCCTCTGGCTTTCTTTGGGTTCCTCTGGCTTTCTTTGGGTTCCTCTGGCTTTCTCTATGTTTCTCTGGCTTTCTCTGCATGCTTTTCGGATAGCTCTAGCTTCCTGCGACGTGACAGATTGTCGCTGCCTTCTGATGCATTCACAGGAGCACGCTCCCCCAACCCCCCCACCATCCCTGCTACGCGCGGAGGAGGAAAAAAACTTGTTACAATAACCCGACCCGCGTGTGTACATTGCCTAACGAACAACAGCTCTGCTCGAAGGAGAAACTAACATAACTAATATAACATAACTAACATAAATAGCTTGTTTTACCCCCTTCCCAGCGCCGAGCGCAGCACACACTGTTTGTCTAGCGTACGTTTTTCCTTCTCCTTCTCCTCCTCCTCCTCCTCCTCGTCCTCCTTCTACTCTTCGTCCTCCATCTCTTCGGCGAATTTTTCTCGGAAGAAATGCGAGTGGATGTTTAGTGGTCGGCGGAAATATACTGTTATGAGAACACGATCGCGCCCGTTTTCGTCTCGCCGCGGGGCGCGAATCTCTGCAGCTAGGTAATGACAACTTATAGTGAAGGCATAGCGAGGGGAAGAGAGAGACGAGAGGGAGGAAGAGACGAGAGAGAGAAAGAGAGAGAGAGAGAGAGAGACGAGACGAGAGGGAAGAAAGACGAGCGAAAGGGAGAGAGAGAGAGAGAGCGGGGGTGAGAGAGAGAGAGCGGGGGGAGAGAGA